AGTTTTGAGGGAAAATGGAAAAAGAGGAATTAGAAGTAGAAATGGGGAAAAAAAAAAAAAAAAAAAAAACGATGACTCGTGTGTTTTTTGATTTTTAATTAATTTATTTTTTATTTCTTTTATTTTAAAATCAATTACAGTTGGAAAGTCGTCGTTTTCTGTCTAATCCTGCTGGGAAAAAAAAGAAAATTCTGTTAATAAGGCCGTAATAAACCCCTCGGAAAAATATCCAATTTTAAAGGAAGAAATGGCTTTAATGATTGGCCACATTGACGAAGAAACAATCAGTGTGTATCTCTTTATTATGTGGGTGAGAATTTGCCTGAATTCCTCTGTGTGTGTATGTGTGTGAAAGAAAGAAAGAGAAAATGAGAGGGAGAGATTAAGGGTTTGTCTCTCTCTCTCTCTCTCTCTCTCTCTATATATATATATATATATATATATATATATATATAAATAAAAAAACACTTAGAGGCGACAGGCTGTTTCATGCTAGATGCAGTCGTCAGACCTGACGATTGCGTCTAGCATGAAACAGCCTGTCGCCTCTGAGTGTTGACTTCAATGTTCACTTTTATATTTAGACGCGCTCTATCTCTGATATTGATAGCACACCTTAAGACTATATATATATATATATATATATATATATATAGATAGATAGATAGATAGATAGATAGATAGATAGATATAGATATATATATATATATGCACCTTTCATTGAATACGACAGACAAGGTGCTTTGATTTAGTTTTTTTTATACAATTTCTCATGCGATCTAATAATATTTTTTCAGATGATAAATTATATAAAAATTGTCCAAATGATCTTCTTTCCGAGCGCTTTCGGCTATATATTTAGCTATGAACATGAACACAATATCTTGACCGTGTTTTGAAAAATGAAAACATTACATCAGTACATACATGCAACAAACTATTTCTTATTCAACAGTTAAAATATTTCATCCTTGAAAATGAAAAACTAAAACTATATCTGTAAAAGGACAATATGAATTAAGAAAGGCGAAAAGAAATCTTATCTTAGCCGAAGCGTTGCGTCCTCTGATAAATTTTCAATAGACGAAACGAGTCAGCTAAGATATATATATATATATATATATATATATATATATATATATATATATATATATATATATATATATATTGTTGTTAATTTTTGAGGATAAGTCAAAATGACAAAGAACGAACATTATCCATGAGTTCAAATGCCCTTAAGGAACTGTGTTCCTGATCAAACCGGACTCAAATAATTACATCGGTTACACAACTACACGCTTATCCAGACGTCTTATGTTACACCTATCTGATCTCAGCTCCATAAGAACCCATTTAAACACACACACAAACTTACCAGACTCCATTAGAAACATACTAGTAGAAAATACAAATATATTAACTGCATGCACCTGTAAAAAAAGATTAAAAATAATGGAAGCTTTAATAATAAAAAAAGAAAAAGCCAACTTTTAACAATATTAACTACGAACAAGGCCACAATGTGCTAACCGTATTCGGAAATTAAAACATCCCTACTACACATTAAGACATACGCATAATGCACACAATCAATTAAGCTGAAAAATCGAATCATCCTTGATAATGGCTAAAGCGCTCGGAAATATAAGGCATTTGGACAGTTTTTACACACCCTTTGTCCAGAAAAGAAAGCTCTTGTTCGAACAAAAGGAAAATTAAATAAAAAGCTTAACCGTAGTACCTTGTCTGTCGTTTTTAATGAAACATATATATATATATATATATATATATATATATATATATATATATATATATATATATATATATATATATACCGGGTGTATCAGCAAAATACTACAATTGTTAGATTAAGCTTTGAACCGTTGTATCTTAGAAATGATTAAAGCTATCTTACTGGATTTCCCCGAGAATTTTCTAACACTATTGAACTCTAAACAATAAGAATATATTTAGCTCTAAGTGGAAATGATGCTCCCTCTTAATGTTGTGACCTCCTGATCCAGTTTTCCTCTCTACTGTTTCCTCTTATAAACTTATTCACCTTTCTCTTGATGCTTCTTGAATCGACTTTGAAGCCAGAGTATGAATGTTGGAACCATTACTGAAGGCCTGAATGATCATTTTTCTCTCACCATTGCTCATTTGGGAAGACATAATGGGCCTGACACAAAATTATTTTAACCTGTTCTCTTTTTTATCTCTATAACACAAAGGTTTTTTCAGCTATCCTTGCGAAAAATGGTATCAAAATAGCTAAACGTCTTATCTGAAAACCTTTTAAAAAAGAAACATGATCAGATTTTGTGGGATGGACAATTATCGCATTCTGTTACATGATTTGAACAATTTTGCTGTTACACCCGGTATATATATATATATATATATATATATATATATATATATATATATATAGTCATTTTCAAGCTTGAAATATATTAACTGCTAACAAGAAATAGCCAAATGGCTAAATGTATAGCCGAAAGTGCTCGAATAAAAATAACAATTGGACAATTTTTATATTATCTATCATCCGAAAAGGAAAAAATATTAGATCTCATGAGAAATTCTATAAAAAAAATGAATTACAGCACTTTGCCTGTCGTATTGAATGAAATGTACATGAAAGAGGGATTGCTGTCTAAATAAATATATATATATATATATATATATATATATATATATATATATATATATATATATATATATAATTTTTAATAAAAATTTTAAAAAATTAATCAGTTAGTCAGACGATCGAAAAAAAGCGTGAAACCCAGCGTCACAAACTCACATCAATCCAACCAAATATATATATATATATATATATATATATATATATATATATATATATATATATGCTTTTTATAGTATGAGGGTAAGTAAAAAAATTACCCCCACGTACATTGTGAAAAGTATGCGGATGATTTTTAACTTTTTCTCGTATTTCCTTATTTCAAACAAACAAATATGAAATGTATTTTGTTTACTTTAACGCTACTTATATGTGTACGAACACATACACACACGGATATATATATACCCATAACTGTAAACATGAACACTGCCCATATGTATGAACGTTGTCACTGAAAATGAAACTTTTTGCACATAGAGAGGCGTGTCCCTGGGAAATGACGCCCATGACACTGTACTAAAATTGCGCCCCTAACGAAACATCTGATACACCATCAAAGAGTAATGTAAACCTCAAAAGTAAAAGTTATTAATTTAGAAAATAAATTATGGCACTTCAACAAGAAGACTATATTTCGTGTTACTTTTTATTTCAAAGGAATTTACATTTTGACAATATATTAATACCAAATGAATCCATATATTATGGCAACAAATTTTTAGATTTTTTCTATTCTTTATTTCATTTCTACTAATGTTCATTCCACGCAAGGCCCAAGAGCCACTCAAGGTAGATTGCAGAGCCACAACTTTCCACAGTAGCGAACAGCATCAGTGATTTGGTGAATGAGTCTTGCTCAATTTCTTATACAGAGTGTCCATAAAGTTCGTGTGCACTTTAAACAATTTATAACTTTATTTGTATTTTTATTTGTAAAAAGGATTAGAAAGAAGTAAATCTATATTTTTTAAGGTTTTATTGGCATTTTATTTAAGTTTCTACATGTCCTCCATCATTAGCAATACATAGGATAATACGATTTTACAGTTCACGGAAAACATTTGCCAACTGATTTACACTGTAATGCCTGAAATCACATTAGTTATTTTAGCTATACTTAAAACTAGGTACATTAAACTTTATAACATTTTTTACAGATTATTTCTATCGCAAATACAAATAAAGTTATAAATTTTTTAAAGTGCACACGAACTTTATGGACACCCAGCTGTCTATTTTACTCATTCAGGATAATACGGGTATATTATTTGTGGCGAGTGGGTAGGTTTCTTTTTAACATTTGTATTGTAGGAAACAACAAAAACCTTGTTTGGAAACATTACTGATTGTTTTATTTCTTGTTTTAAACTTGGTTCTACCTTTGATAACGTAGCAATACTGGGCGGGATGGGTGAATTGTCGCCATTTTATATTTTTAGTTTCGCGCATGCGCGTTGTTTGTTTTGATTTTGTCGGCTGCACAGTATAATAGGGTCAATTGGGCACAGTCTGTGAGAAAAATAACTCTATGACGCAATTCACTCTACCAGAAATTTGAAAACGGCATGCTGTACTGCTTGGCATTCGCACCGGAATCTTCAATACTAACATTTCATAGTGTTTGGGTGTCAATCTGAGACCAGTGTAGAGGATTCGGAAAGAGTTGGATGAGTTTAATGGTGATTACGAAGGTGTTTGATCACTAGTAATGGTGATGTTATACCACCATTCATCTTCCCACAGGGCTTCAAACTCAACACGAAGGCCTACATCAAGTGACTTGTATTATCACACTAGAAAATCATCTTCTAGATTTTCAGTATCATTAAAATACTCGACAACCAAACGAATATTTTAATAATCTTTCAAATTCTTCATTAAGTAAATTTGAAAGTGTAATAGCATCACAAGTTTTGTTTTTTTTATAGCTTATCAACCTTTTACCGGTTATTTTAAACCAGAAAACATTTTAGGTTGTAAGAACATTTTTGGAGATAATAATGTTTTACTGATACAAGTCCTACTAAATAACCCATAGCTGAATGGAAGAAGTGGATTCATGCCTTTCCAAAGGATAGTTGCACGTAAGCGCATATAACGAACGCAACTGGCCTCTCCGATTTCCAATTCCATTACACCAGCCGGGCATCCAAGCTTAGAACCCCAGGTCTTCTCGAAGCGGTCACCCATCTCAGTACTGACAAGGCTCGACGTTGCTTTAACTTTGATGATCGTACAAGAACCGGTGTTTCAATGTGATATGGGCGTTAAGACCGACAAGAAGATTAATTTCAGTAAGTCATTACACTAGTAATGCGAGAAGACAAGTGGAATTCAGCATCTAAGGATGGTGCCGGCTAGGCCTAAAACTGCATCTTCCTTTCTTTTACTCTTGCAAATTTGTCAATTACAACCACTTCACATCGAGGTCAACAAAAAAAAACTGTCGCTGGTAACATTCAACACAGACAGTCTTTCGATGTAAAATGTTGTCAAATGATTTAATTCTTAATGTCTAATTGTTGAATATTACAAATTATGCCATATAATTTCATTTTCTTGTTATACTAATGTTCACCCAATGCAAGGCCCAAGAGCCACTCAAGGTAGACGGTTACAGCATTCAGTTGTATAAGCGTAAGGAAAGTCAAGAAATGCACTTCATGGGATTATGTAGGAAAGATAATGGTCAGTCCTAGACTTGAAGACTTTAACATCGTAATGACCGGGGAGACATCCTGCCGGGAGTCTTTTCAACGAAGCAGCAGTTCTTGGGAAGAAACTGTCCAGGTTTAACTTGCTTATTACTAAGGGAATACGAAGAGAAAAGATAACGGTTAACCCTAGACTTAAAGAGGTCAAGATTGTAGTGATTGGGAAAACATCCTCTTCGCAATGTAGCAGTTCTTGAATTTAAGCTGTCCAAATGAAACTGCCTCCTTACTAATGGAATACGAAGGAAATGGGAACGATTTATCCTTGTGTATGTGGCATGGAAAGGCCCAGTGGCAAAGGTCATGACTGGTGGGACAAAGGAATGTAGCTCGTCAGGACAGTGAGAGACTTGTGGCGTTTCGTTTGTGTCAAAGAAAATTGCTAGATGAAGACTTTTTGTTTCTTTGTCAATTCTACCTTTCAAAATTTTAAAGAGCAACGTTGCTTATCACAGTCTGTCTCCTTGAATCATGTTCTTTTATTGCCCTTCGTTTCTTTCATTCTCAGCAACCACTTGCGTCGTAGAGACTTTATTGCCATGGTTTGGATGAAATGGTTCAAAAAACGTTGTTCAGTGTTCAGTGGCTTCATGTTATCTCCCTCCTGTTGCAGTTTTTGGGGTATGTGAGTACTAGTGAGCTAGACTAAATGAGCTGACTCATTTTATAGTTCACCTATAGAATGGTTAACCAATCAGAAAGCTCAAAATATTCAATGCGACGTGTATAAAGGCAGCCATTTTTTTCTCCCAAATTGTCTGCACTGCCAACCTGATATCGAAGACTTAAAGAATTACTTAACAGCCGCTACTTTCTCTGAATCTTCACTGCCGACCTCTGATATTGAACAGATTACGGACTTCACTGGATTCCATATTCAAAGACTATGGCAAACATGGTCAACACCCCCCTAAAGTGGGGCCCATGACATGTGTCTTACTTTCTACCCACCCCAAGATACGCGACGTAAGTAACAACAAAATGACAATAAATCTTTTGTCAATGATAAATAAAATAAAACTCTTGCTTTTTCTTTAATATCCTTAAAGTGTGAATCGCCATGAATGTTTTTTTTGGGGGGGATAGTTTGTGGAGTTGTTTCCTGTTGCCGTCTGTACTGTTTTGAATTCAGAGTTTTACTTCGTTTAGTCATCCTTTTATTTGTCTTTTTTTTCAGGCCGTGACGTTCATGGTCTTCCACAGCTTCACATCTATTGTACGTTAAGTAATATTTATCCACTCGCCAAATCTATAAAGATATCTACTTGACTTTTTATCCCATAGCAAGGAGGAGAAAGGCTAATTAGTGTGAAATCGAACGCAACTAAGCCAGATTTTGAACCCGACTTGTCGATTCCCTTTTCCGTCTCATTAAAAGTTGTATCACCCACAAATAGGTACTCCATTTGTTTAAGATTTTAATATCCTTTCATAACGTAGGCATCCACAGCTTCCTTTTCCTTATTATCTGTGAATTACCATGGTTTCTTAGGAAAGATTCTGGGGTTGTTTCTCTGTTGACTTCTCCACGGTTTTTTCTCTTATTAGACTGATTGCCATCCAAGTCTTGATATCCAAGTCTAACCTATTGTTTAACCCATAGTGGGGAGAAGAAGAGACGGATATACCATTCCCACGAGGATTAGTGCGAAAGTGAACGCAATAGATTAGCCTGGAATTAGAACCAGGGTCGCTGATTTAAGTTGGCGCACAGATATCCGTTAAACTACCCCCGTATACTCACGAACGTACACACGCACGCATGCACACATACACGAAAAAACAAAAAACAAAAAAAAAACCTTGCATCAATGAAACGAAAAATTGAGACGTATAAGCAGTCAATTGCTGATACACCCTGACGAATGGACGGAGTAATTCCTGGAGGGTCCCTCTACGAAATTCTGCAGTCAGGGTGCTGAAGGTAACATCAGTTAGCTAAGTGACAAACTTTTACTTGTATTGATTCTCTCTCTCCCCCTTCTCTCTCTCTCTCTCTCTCTCTTTATATATATATATATATATATATATATATAAAGACATGTCCCATTAAATAATTTAGGCAAGTTTTGTGTACTTATTTTTAATAGGCTCCTCTCGTAACTACGAACAAGTTTCTTAATTAAAGGAAAAAAAACTACGATGTTAATTCATATTCATTTTATTCCGAGTACTTTCGACATTAGTACAATATTGTCATCAGTTTCTTGTTTTTTCTAAGACAAAAAAACTGTTGTGTTCATGAGATATGTCTTAATAAAAACATGCTGCCTAAATATACGTAATATATATATATATACGCAAGGCAGCATATTTTTTATTAAGACATTGCTGTCTTTGTTGAATATTAAATCTCTAGTTCCGACACTGAATCCATTCCATCTGCCTAGGTTTAACAAGACTGACGTACTCGGCATCAGCTGAAATAGACTCTACCCAGGAGGTAATTTTTGATTTCTCTTTTGTGTAATATATATATATATATATATATATAAAGAAAGAAAGAACTGTAAGATATATAATCCGGTGTTCTTATTGATATTTTTATTTTTACAAAATATTGCTCAATGTAAATTTACAGAGCATTAATATAATAAATTAACTGATTTAAAATATGTTTTTTTTCGCTACACAGTAATAACCATGTTTCAAAATGGAAGCTAAAAGCTTCGAATTTAATTTTGTAATTAAATTAAAAACATTAGTTCCATTTCATCCTCAAGCGAATTATGTATGTATTCAATTGTTTGGATATGAGTTTGTGATACTAGGTTTCACGCTTTTGCGATAATCACACACGATCTTCATCCACTAAGTACTGCGCATATATATATATATATATATATATATATATATATATATATATATATATATATATATATATATATATATATCCACACAGAACCATTATGTTTATTAACTGTGGATTCTCAAGATTTCGAAACAGTGGAAGTATTTCCCATAGCCTTCTTCACGGTGGAGAATTTTCTTTCTCTTTGCCTGTTTGTCATTCACAGCTAGAGATACCATTCTACTCTATTATTTCACAGACTAGTCCGTAATTAGAAGTCGGCTCGTTTGATTGCGCTGTCAGCGTTGTTAGCTTTTACCTCACCCACGCATCGAAACTCGAATACAAGATTAAAATAACCAGACTTAGATTACCAAATGATAGGATAAAGAGCTACTTAAATCCATCTTGATAACGACAAATGAATCGGCGTGAAATTGACACTTCATGGGGCACACCCGAATACAATCACATTAAACGTCCATTATTTGCAGGGAGACATTTTGCCCATACATAAAAACATATTCACGCTTACATACACTCATATAAGAAATTAACACATTTTTTTTTTCTGTTTTCTTTCTTTTCTTTTTTTTTTATTCGTCTTTTCATTTTTTTTTATTCATTCTTTCCTTCATTCTTTTTTCCTGTCGTTATCAGTTTTTCATTCATTTTTTATTTTTTTATTCTTCCTTTGATCTTTTCTTCCTTCATGCTTGCCATTATTCTGTTCCCGTCTTTTCTTCTATCCTTTCCATTTTCAGTTGCTTCTGCATTCTTTTTTTTTAATTCTTTCTTTCATCCGTTCTTCTTTCTGTCTCTGTTTTAATTCAATTTTCTTTCTTTCCTTCTTCCCTTCTTTCAGTCATTATTTAATTCCGTATTCTTTCATTTCTTCATTCAGTCTCCCTTCTTTCAACCATAATTCTATCGCTTCTTTTTCTTTCTTTCCAACATCCGTTCCCCCCCTTCCTTCATTTTTCCTTCTTCATATCATCCTTTTTTCTTTCATTGTTTCCTTCATCCAATTTCTTTTTCAATTTGTTTTATTTTTCTGTCTTTCCTTCACCCTTCTTTTTATCCACCTTCCTTTCGTTCATTCTTGTTTCATTCTTTTCTTTATTTTTCCGTCTTTCTTTCATCCTTTTTTTCAGTCTTTTTTCATTCCTTATTTATCTATTGTTTCATTCATCCATGTTTTTCATTTTTCTTAAATCACTTCATTTTCATTCTTTTTATCATCCTTTCCACTTTTTATCTTTCTTTCATCCTTTTTTCTTATATTCTTTCCTTCACCAATTTTCCCGATTTTCCTTCATTCTTTCTTTTTCAATGTTTATTTTATCCTAAACCCTAATTCTTTTCATTCTTTCTTTTTTTATCTCTTCTTTTCATTCTTTCTTTGATTCTTTTTTCATTCATCTATTTTATCTTTCTTCATAACTCTTCCTATCAAATATTATATTCACTCCCCTTTTATCAGCTTCTCCCTTTTTTTCACCTCTTTTAAAATTTTAATGCTCATTCTTCTTTACCTTCTACTCATTTCTTCTTCGTTTCATTGCTCTTACCCCTCCTCCTCCTCCTCCTCCTCCTCCTCCTCTGGCTTTCTTTCAATTCCTTTTTATTTTGTGCTTCTTCCGTTTTTTTTTCTCATTTCACCCGCTTCTTCCTTCTTCCCCTTTTCGCACATTTATAATGTCTTGTTTCTTTCCTTTCCCCTTATTTCTTTCTATCCTCACCTCTTATACTAACCAATCTTTCTTCTTCTTCTTCTTCTTCTTCTTCTTCTTCTTCTTCTTCTTCTTCTTCCAGTTTTTTCCTCTTCTACTTTCAATCTTTCTTCTTCTTCTTCTTCCTGCTTCTTTTCTTCCTCCTCCTCCTCCTCCTCCTCCTTCTTCTTCCAATTTTTTCCTCTTCTTCTTTCAATCTTTCTTCTTCTTCTCTTTTTTCCAATGTTTTTTATTCTTCTTCCTATCTTTTCCTCTTTTTCTTCCAGTCTTTCTTCTTCTTCTTCTTCTTCTTCTTCTTCTTCTTCTTCTTCTAAAGTTTTTTTCCTTCTTCTTCTTCTTCCAATCTTTTATCATCTTCTTCCAATCTTTCTTCTTCTTCTTCTCAAATGTAGATATAAAGGAGTTACCATTACCATGTTGTAGTAGCAGCCAACTTCACTAACTATACAGCTATGTCTCTTCCATCATCTCGAAGTCCTGAACCCGGCTTCCCTTATCCACCATTACTGAATTTGTTCTCCGAGCAGTAACTTATCTACAGCTAAGGTCTACATCACAACCATTATGCTTCACGAGATAAGAGATCCTGATGCGAAGACAAGAGAGGGAAGGAGATGACCGCCGGCTTACACATGAGTGCAAAGAAGAGAGAAAAGGGAAGAGGAACAGATAGGAAACAAGCGGAGGAGGGAAAAAGAAGGAAGACAGGAAGGAAACAAATGAGACAAAAAAACAATTCAGTTGGGAGGGAAAGAAAGATGGAAGAAGAAATCAAAAGAGGAGTAAAAGAGGAGAAGAATGAGGAGTGAAAGAAGGAAGAGGTGTAAAATGAAGGAAAGTAGGGGTAAGAGTAGGAGACGGGAAAGGCGATAAAGAAATGGAAGGATTTAAGGAGAAAAGTTAAAAGAAGAAGGAATGTAGAATAATAAAGAAGTAGAAGAGAATGAGAAGAGGAAGATAGAAAGAAAAAGAAAAAGAAAAAGAGGAGGAGAAGTTTAAAATAGAAATAGTGGCGGATAAAGGATGGAGAAGAATAAGGAGAAAGAAAAGAAACAGTGAAAAGGAGGAAAAGTGAGTGGGAGTAAAAAAGTAAAAAAAAGAAAAGAAAGAATAAAATAAAGAGATTTAAAGAAGAACGCATGTGGAGGAGGAGGAGGAGGAGGAGGAGAAATAGGAACAGGAGAAGCAAAAAAGAGAAGACCAGAGTAGGAGGCAAAGAAAAAAGAGTCGGGAACTGAAAAGGACGGGGAGTAAGAAGAGGAGGAGTTGATGAAAAGGGAGGAAAAAATTCGGTAGGCGGTAACAGTGAAGGAACGAGAAAAAAGTAGGCAAACATGGATGAAGGAAAGACTAAAAGAATAAAGGGTGAAGAAAAGATTGAAACAAGGAGGGAAGAAAAGAATAAATGTAGAAGAGAAGAGAGAAAGAAGGAAAAATTGAACCAAGTAGTGATGAAGGAAAGAGTAAAAAAATGAATAAAAAAACTGAAAGAAAAGGCGAAGAAAGAAAGAAAGAATGGATGAAAGAAAGATTAGAAATAACTACGATGAAGGAAAAAATCTAAGGAAAGCAGGAAAGATAAAAAAAAGGAAAGAAATAATGAAAGAAAATAAGGAATGAAAGAAAGAAAAAAAGAAAAATGTAAAAAAATTGATGAAGAAAAACTAAATGATGACTTTTTAAGCATAGCTGAAACGTGACACAAAGCCGAAAGCATAGTGGCACGCAGTTGAGGATCGAACTCGCTATTCAGTGGTAATTGATCTAGCGAGACAAGCCTGCTAATTTATGGCACACAAGGGTGAAAGTGTTGCACACCCAGTGCGGATCAAACTCACACACTACTCAGTCGTAATTGGAAAGAGTAAAAGAAAATGGAAAAATATAGGAATGAAGGAAATAATGAATAATTAAAAAAAGAATGAAAAGGAAAAATAGAAACAAAAAACAAAATAATAACTTGGGTCATATATAATTCTGGGGAATTACTTATAATGATGAATGTATTATCCTAACGACTAATCATACGTAGCAATTAATGCTGTACATTAACACATAGATAGATAGATAGATAGATTAGGTTGAGTCATAAGTAATTTCCGTTTTTGTGAACCAATTGTTATGACGAATGTATTATTCTAACGACTAATCATATGTAGCAATTAATACTGTACACTAAAAGATAGATAGATTGAGTCATAAGTGATTTCCGTTTTTGTGAATATGACGAATGTATTATCCTAACGACTAATCATACGCAACAATTAATGCTGTACATTAACAGATAGATAGATAGATAGATAGATAGATAGATAGATAGATAGATAGATAGATTAGGTTGAGTCATAATTTCCGTTTTTGTGAACCAGTTGTTATGACGAATGTATTATTCTAACGACTAATCATATGTAGCAATTAATGCTGTACACTAACAGATAGATAGATAGATAGATAGATAGATAGATAGATAGATTAGGTTGAGTCATAATTTCCGTTTTTGTGAACCAATTGTTATGACGAATGTATTATTCTAACGACTAATCATATGTAGCAATTAATGCTGTACACTAACAGATAGATAGATAGATAGATAGATAGATAGATAGATAGATAGATTACGCTGAGTCATAAGTAATTTCCGTTTTTGTGAACCAATTGTAATGACGAATGTCTCATCTTAACTACTAATGATACGTGGCAGTTAAAAAAAAGAATTTAGAGTCCACTAACAGACGACAATGTTCAAAGCAAAAAGGCAGTGAATTGTCAAGGATAAATCTTGACAGTTAAACCCAAAAGCTGATCTGTACCGAAAAAAAAATAATATCCGTTCGATGCGATCTGTGGGATATCATTCATTTAGAGCTCTTAAAACGCAATGAAACACTATACGAGCGAGAAGAATAGAAGGGTAATCAAGATAGTAGATAAAGATTATATTTAGATTTGTGATGGTCAAAGCTGACTAGAAAGCATGAATCTGGAAGAAAAGTGCGAGAAAAGAAACTGTTAGCATAGAACTTACGGTTACATCTAGCCAATTCAACTGTGAATTGATGAGACCTTGCTGCCAATCTAGTACTGCGCTTAAACTCATAAAGTCTAGGTATCATAGACAAGAGTGATAGTTATTTCCGCTTCAAATACAGAAAATGTGTCACAAGGCCAAAAAGCGGGAGGGGAAAAAGGAGGGTGTTCTTCTGTCTTAATATTAAATTTAGCTAGTCACAAACACTGATCCAATCATATAACAATATTCTTAACGCCAAAACAACGCATTCTTACTTACCTTTCTTACTACATTCCCCATAATACCTCATTGTCTCTATAAAGTCCTAACTAGTCCCCATATGTACAATTCATTGTCTATGGAGGGAGGGGAATAAAACAACAATTTAAAAACCTACCCCAATGCGAAGAGTTATCCAAACATTTACCATGAAAGTATTTATAGAAAAGCAAAAGGAAGGTACGTTTTGGCGATGGGAAAGTGACTGAAACCAAGACGCCAGATCAGGACCAATAATATTGCTGATTCTGCATTGGATTTTATCAAGAATCTCTAGAAATACAGCAGGAGCATTAGACCATATGTGGCAGCAATATTCTAAGCATGGATGAATGGTTGACTTATAACTATGTAAGATAGATTCTGTAGAGAAAAATTTGCTCGGCCGACATAGTGAACCGACTTTCTTAGCAGCAGACCTAGCCATGTATTCAATATAGTCTTTCCACTTCATATCTGCTGAGATGGTTAGCCCGAGAAGGCTCAACGAGTCGCTTTCCTGGAGGTTAACATCGGCCATGTTGATGGAAGGCAGAGAGGGGTTTCTCAAATGATTAATGGAGGGAAGTTTAGTTTTGGAGGTGTTAAAATTAAGAAGCCATTCCTTGCCCCAATTAACAACAAACTGGAGGTCATTTTTTATATCACCTGCCAATTTTATTTTATCGAACTGATCTGACTTATTATGAGACAGGAGTAAATTGTTCAGTCATCAGCATGGATACCAAGTTGAGAATTGATGTCATCAGGAAGGTCATTGATGAAAATTAAAGTCAAAGTAGGTCCAAGGATAGAGCCCTAAAGGACACTTTGAAGAGTGGCCGTTCAGGACAACTTTCATTTTTCGATTAGATAAGAAAGATTGAATCAGTTTAAAAAATTGCCCTTCCACTTGTAGAGAAAATTGCTATGTCAAAAACTGTCAAACGCTTTCGAGATATCCAGAATGTATTTTATCAGTTTTGAGCTTCATTAAGCAAATGCATCAAAATTTTGATTTACTTTTAATTATTACATTTGTAGCGACATAGTAAATACAGGCAGAATAAACAATAATTATCTTCATATTTAAGAACGTGCTGCCCTGAAACTCGCTAACCAAAATGTATGCTTGTTTTGTTTGGTTTTACGGCATATTAACCACAATGCCGAAAAAACTTTTATTGCTGGTAATTTTTTTTTTTCAAAAATGTATTTTTGGTAAAAAAATTTCCAAAACAGTATTGCTGGTATTAAAACCAATTTTTATACATTCATAGAGTTTTGACCCCTTCTGGTGGGGTTAACTATTTGCCAATAGCTGGGTCCCTGACAGGTGCTACCACCCC